TTTTTGCATCACCATGGGTCTCACTAATGGTCCTATGGCATTGTAGCAATTGTTTCTTTAGAAAATTAGGTTTGTCCAGCCATTGTAGGAGATCTTTTACACACTTTTGGGGGAGAGACATGTGATTGACTCTAAATAGAGAGAAAATGAAAATCAAAAAGCTTAGATAAGGGACTTTCAAGGTACAGAAGCATGAAGATTGGCTCGAAGACGATCAATCGACACATGAACATTAATTTTTCTCATTTTCTTGGTTTAGTTATGGAACTTTATTTGGGATTTTGCTGTTTTACATTGAAGATGAGTATAGCTAAGTTTTTTTGTCATTCAACTTTATGGATTGATTGTTTAATTGATGGAATGATTATGAATGTTCTACATTTACGTTTCTATTTGCTTAATACTTTTAATCTACCATAGATTGATTGATATTAGACTTGAAATCTTACAATTTTGCTTCCCTAGGATTTTTTTGAGATAGAAATTGAAACCTAACATAAAAAAAGAGGGGTGCCATAGGACTTCTAGTTCCCTCGGACTTGTATTCTCATTGATTTTCTCTTTTTTATTGCATGTTTATTTGCTTCCATATTCACTCACTCGATTTTGATTCTCTTAAATACAATCGATCAATGGTATTGTGGTACTTGAGTGAACTAGAAACTCAACTCAGAGGACGATATTGACATTTTGACTTACCACTTTTATCAAAACTTGACTCGTAATACTTGCGGCAAGCAATTTTTGTCACATTGATCAACGTTGAAAGTGGCAGATGATAAACTTATTTCTCATACTACGACTTAACAAGTTGGCAAAAGTTAAAGGATGTATATTAAATTGTTGATGCCGATTTATGGGCAAAGTACCACGTCATGTAGGTTCCACGAATACCATTGTCTCCGTGATCAAAAGGTTTCTAATTTCTATCCCAAATTTCTAAGAAATTGGTAGAAATTTCATCATTTTTTCTCTTAAATGGTATAATTTCAACTTTAAGTAGTATCTCTTGCAGCTTTCTTTATATTCACCAATGAAACGGGCATGTGTAAATGAAAATTCTTAAAACGTAAGGCACTAAATTAATTTTTTTTTTTAAACAACTAGGATTAAATTGAAATCTTACTCGAAGATTAGACTCAAATATATATTTAGCTCATAAGTGTTTTAAATGCGATATCAAAATGATGCAGGTAATTTGTTATTTCTTTTAGTAAGGTACGGTGCTCTAATCCTGTATTTAATTACTTTACAAGTAAATTAGACTAAGAAGGCATCAAACACACAGAAACAGGTAATTTGTTATTTCTTTTATTATTTTTATGTTTCAATTTGGGGTAGGAGTGTTTAGAAAACCTGACGAACCCAACCCAATGTAAGATGCAAATATAAATGTATCAATAAAAAAATTTACCAATTCGACTGGTACTGTTGTTTTATATTCTGTCTTTTTATTTTCTCTCAGTCTAAGTTTTTTTTGTTTGAAATGTATATATTTATTTTGTAAATTAAAGAGTTTGATATCAATAAAGAAAGCATTTACCAATGACCTATGTCCTATTTGCATATATAGGATAAAGAGCATATATGTGTGAGGTATTAATAGATTTTTAAACTCAACTCAGAATATTTCAATATAAACTTATCTTGAAGGTGAAATGTTAGAATCTCTCCATTATTTGTTAAATTAAAAAAAAAATAGATATATACATAACCTATTTTCCTCTCCATTTTTTGAATAGTTTCAACTGAGCGTGGAATCCGATGTTCTCTATGAGAAGATCTAAAAAAATCCATATGAGAGAAAAACAGAAATGGATTTCGACGATTTGGAAAACTATAACCAATAACAAAAAGTAGTTAAATCGAATTGTATGAAATTAAATTATATTGGATGATGTTGTGGTGGGTTGTCTGTGATTATGAGTAAGGCGTTTGTTCTGTAACTTTATTAGAGACCAGATCCAAAAGAGCAGGAGGCCATGGAAACGAGGAGAGAGGTTTGAGATCCATCATAGAACATGGGAAGGTGTTGACCCAAATTTAACCATCCATTCAAATGAATTAGGCAGAGGGTTGTCAAATTTTCCTTTTACGAATCTGTAAGATCTAACATCCGATCGTCTGCAAGGAATAACTTAGATGGCTTGAGGTTCAAGGATTCAACCTTGAGGTCTTGGATTCAACCCACATGCTCACTTCCACATGATTCCCGACGAGAGACTCTCAACTTAAACATGCATACACTCCATTTTTTTCCCCACAGCATGTCAAACCAAAAAAAAAAAAGGGAAAAAGAAAGAGGTGTCATTACAACAAAGCACAGCAATAGTTTAAGGAGTTGACTGGGATTTATGATATATTATTTTGTATTCTTTCCTCTCCCTCCGCTCTGTGTCAAGTTTATATCTCCATTATTCACCACCTTTGACTTGCGCGTTTGCAGCCTTCTGTTTTCTCTTTAATTTTGCTTCATCGGAGGAAGTCGCCGCTGGACAGACCATCTTCTGGAAAACGCCGGTAGCTTCTTATTCTTTAATGTTCCTGTTTTTTCCTTGACATGATCCATCTCCTCGTTATTGGGTTTCTGTGTGTTTTTATTAACTTCTTCTTGGTGTGCTTTGTTTAAATATATAGTTAAACTCTTATTTGGATTTGAAAGAGGGGCTTTTCTCTGTTCTCTCCAAAAAAAGGGAATAGAAAAACAGGGGTTGAAATTTTAGATTTATCATTCTAAAATGGGATGGTTTTGCAAATATTTAAAAAACATATGTTATATTTTAAAATATATAAAAACTACTGTAATTTACTTCTAAAATTTACCATTGAAAGAAGGATTAGTGTAGGAGCGTTTCAGCCTAAAAGTAGGAGTGTCAAGTAGGCTGGACAGAAGAGCTTTGACTGATGTGGGATAGTCCAACTCCTTTTCCCTTCCAGTTCTCTTTAGAGTTTAGGTTCCAGCATGATAGTGCTCGGTTTAATTGGTTCAATATCCTAAGGTAGAAAGTAGCTGATATGTTATTATTCGCTCCCTTTAGAATGTTTAGTTGGAAAGGAACAAACGAACCTTCACAAATGTCAATATATCAGATTGAGTGCTAATCAATGGGAAGAATATCAATATCTCAGCCTCATCATTGTCTTCCAAATCTCCTCTTTTTTGTAATTATAAAATCTCCTCGATTTAGCTGGCGGAAAGGAACAATCAAACCTTCACAAACATTACTAGACGAGTGCTAATTGGTGGGAAGAACATCAATATCTCAATCTCATCCTAGTCTTACAAATCTTCTCGTTTTTTAATTATAATATCTCTACCATTTCTCTTTTTTTTAGACCAAAATGGTAGTCATCAGAAACAAAAAGGGCACAATAACTATATGATAGTCCAAAACAAGTAATCAATATCTAAAAATACACTAAAATTATCGATAGAAAACTGTAAGAAAATAATACTCTAAAATTTTCGCCCTCTTCAGCCTTTCCCTATCGTTTCTCAAATCACATTGATATCTTCTTAACATAAATGTTCTCCGCTCCCTCACACAATCGCCATAACATCCTTTGGTGCAGCACAGTGGTCTCTCTTTTGTATAGTCTCTCAAATAAATCTATACTCTCCTTACGGGATTCAATCTTTGTTTTTTGTCTCTTCATAACCTCAAAATCAAATCTTTTTTGTAATTATGGTATACTTTTTATTTCAAGAAATGCTTTTATATAGTCTCTCTTTTGGGTATGTTTCCCACATACTATCAATGAAGTGGTTTCGACATCTCTTCGAAAAATTAAATTCTGTCGAACAAACTTAAAAGACCTTAGCTTCTCCTTCTTTTCCTTAAAAAGTGCAAGGAGAGACAACCTTGAATCCAACATCAGGAATGTCTCCGACGGCATGTCCTTCACGGCATGTCCTTCACGACCGAATCCGGCAATCAATACTTCATCATTCTCCTCAATTTGGTTAAGACAACCATATATCTCATTAGGCACAAATGCGGCAATTTTGTTTCAATACCATCATTTGTCTGCTTAGCCTCAATACCAATCTTTTCCAAAACAATGCCTTTTGCATGAGAAGAACCGGCAAATGGCTTCTTCCCTTCATTTCCAAGGTGAGACTTAGCTTCTCATAAGCTTTGTCAGCCCACCTTGAGCATGCCATCAGCTCCCATCCCATGTGTCTTCCACATGTTTGCAGAGAGGACGGGTTCTTCGACTTCGGCGGGGGCTTTGGAAGTTGGAAAAGTAGGAGCCCCGCAACAAAAGCCATAGGTTTCAAGATCTCTACCATTTCTCTTGATTAGAGTCCTTTCCTATTAATCTTCATGTCTTATATGTTTGATGTTTTTTAGTCAAATTTGGAACATTTTATTTGGGCGTACTGATGTCAATTTACTTGTTAAGTTTGAGTACGGTTGAATTTGGATAATTCTGAAATTTTGTTGATGAATTTCTGTACGTTTTATGGTTTGTCAATGACTTATTTATTTTTGATGATATATTACTCTAAGTTGAATCCGCTTTTACTCGAAACTTTTGGATTTCATCCAATTAGACCCTCACTTAATAAGTGTTGCAAAATAAAATTTTTATTTGCATTCCTTAATTCTCATTGCCTCCAAAGAACAAGCATGTCTATTCCTTTTTTAGCCCTCCTTCAGATGAAACAATTCTAATGAAATTATTTATTAGGCAACATTTCTTCCATCCAGCCAATTACAAAAGTAATTACAGGATTAGAACACCTAACCAAAAGAAATTGCAAATTAGATATCTCATACTATCCCTACAATTATAAATTAAATCTCTTAAATCTTAATACTTTCCCTAACCATTACAAACTTTGATGCCTACGATTAAGAAATGCCACACAGTGATAATAATTTCCTCTAATTTCTATAGATATTTAGTCCAGTATATTCTGATAAAAGGCTAAAGAACCCTAACAAAATCTTAACGAAAATCTTTATTAAGCAACAACATTGTATCGAGCCAATTACTAAAGTAAATACAGAACTAGAACACCTGACCAAAAGAAATTGCAAATTATCTCATATACTATCCCTACAATTATACACCTCCAAAGCTTAATACTTTCCCCGACCCTTAGAAACTTTGACGCCTCATATATAGGAAATACATCTCCTAATTAAAGCTTAACACTTTCAGCAAAATTCAAAATTTTGATCCAAATGCAAGATTGAGTATAATTGAGTTAAAAACATAGCAAGCTAAATCGAAACTCGAATGAGTAATGGTTGATAACCTAGTTTTGTTGGTGAGGTGGAGGGTAGTAATTGGTAATGGTAAATTGTTGAACCTGCAGCGGCGGCAACGGTGGTTGAATGGCAGCCGGTGCACGACGACGGCGAAGTAGGCGCACCCTAGAGTGGGGATCTACGGCCGTGATGTCGAAAATACTGGACTTGGACCTGCAGCTCTTCCCATTTCGCTGGTTTATATTAGGGTTTTGGCGGTACTTGCAGTACTTCTGGGCATGGCTGGCCACCTGGGTGGATGTTCTTGTGACCACAAATTCTGTTGCAATTTCTTTCCAATTTCCATTTCCGTACTTCTCCAGTCCCATCAAAAATAGCCTGCAATAATCCAAATCAAACGAAAAAGGAAAAACTTTAACTTTAGAGATTCTTATATATCGTTTGGAAAAAAGAGAGAGCGAGAATACTTACATGTGTTCGTCCTTGGTCCAACGCCTGACAGGTAAATTGCCACTGCCAGCTTCTTCAGCGCCAGGTCTCTCCGGCAAATTCACTGCCGAGCTGACGTCGGAAAGAAGGACGTTCGTTGTTGTTGTCTCCGCCACGTCGTCGTCGGAGGATAACTCCAGCAACACCATTGGAGAAGGATTGTTGTCGGAGTTGACGAGCTCCACCGGAAACTGCATTTCTTGTCTAACCTCCGGCGCCGGCGCCGGTGCCGACGGCAACGGCATGGTCTCGTTATAAAACCCATCAATATCCCAATCATCCAACGACAGAAGAGGAGGGAGCTGCTCTTCCATGGGAGTTTTGCCCCAATTGCGATTTAGGCGAGATGAAGAAGAAGAAGAAGCATTTGACGCAGAGGTTTAACACTGAGCTTTATACTACAAAGTGGGCGGAGATAACAAGGCTGAGAATGTTATTTGCTTCAAGATGTTGTGTTGCAATGGTGGTGTAGTGTCTTTCAGCCCCTTTTAGAACCCAACGATGGCCCCGGTTCGATCCTTGGTTTCCATTTATTTTTCTTTACTTATTAACTAGTTTTTTCCTTTAAATAATTCAAATTAATCTGATATATGCAAATATGATATTTATAGTTTTCCTTTTCTTTTTTTCCAAGGAAAGTAGGGGCCGATATTCACACAGGGATTTTGCTTCCTACACTATATTACCTTAAGATATATACTTAATTATCTTTGTATCTAAATTTCCCCAGCCCACAACAGGGTTGTTTAAAAGCTGATTTTTGGGGTTTTTTGAAATTTTGTGGGTAAATTTAAAATAAATGAGAAAAAACGGGTGTATACTAAAAAATTTGGAGTTTAAAAGTATTGCGTCTGTCAAAGAAACGTGTTATGCAATGGAAATCGACATCGAGGTACAGGTGAAGATCGGAGGGAAGCCCACTGGGCCGCGACGCGGGGCTCGATCCCGACGCGGTGCTCGGTCCACGGCCCTCCAGCGGCCCTTTGTCTTCGATCCACGATTACGCCTAGGCCCTCCAACGGAATTAGGGTTAGCTCCGGAAAGTTCTGGAACAACCTGACGACTATAAGTAGCGATCCAGCCTTAGAGGTAAGGGGATCTAAAAAGTTGACTACATTTGCGCTATTCTCTTGCTAACTTAAGCATCGGAGCCCGTGTGACTAGAGTCACACCGATTTAGCTCGATTTGGTTTTGCAGGTACTAGTCCCGGATCAATAAGTTTGGTAGGTGCGAGGAGGAGAACCGGAGGACCGAAATCCACGCATCAACAATTGGCGCCGTCTGTGGGGACGATTTAAAGCATCCAGTTGAGCAGCATGACACCAGAAAGAAGTCCACGACGCTCTGATGATAACTGCTCTGCCAAGAGGAGGCTGAACTTGGACGACCCCCAGGTTGGAGGACCCGAGGATGGGACCAGCCAGCCAAACCTAGAACGTCAGGAAGGGTTGCCCGAGGCACATGCACTAACGACCCCTGAGCCACTCCAAAAGCAGTTCGCGGTTTTGGAAGATAAGGTAGAGGGCATGCTTCAACGCATGACCCAAGTCCTTCGACAATACGAGCGACAAGAGTCCGACGAAGTGCCCCTTGTCAGAGACCCGAGAAAGGGGAAGGGCCCAGCGCAAAGCGAGACCGAGGAGTCAACGAACAGTGCAGGGAGCAAGTTGCGGATAGGTGGAAATACCAGGCGACGAACCCAGATTTTCGACTCCCAAAAGATGAAAAAGCAACATAAATACTCGGCACCAAATGGGGGCAGGAGCGACCATGATGACAGAAACTCCGAGCCGGTAAGTCTCGACAAAGGCAAACCAGCAGATCAGCCAGAGTCCTCGGAGAAGCGACATAACCAAAAGGAGAAGGGATTCGACCTCGAAGAACTACTGGACCAAGCCGACTCACCATTCACGGAGGAGATCATGAGAGAGAAGGTCCCTCCAAAATTCAAGCTACCCACGGTGAAACAACGACAGGACTTCTACTAAGGGGGGCTGTTGACTTTTCCTTTCTTCCTTCGAATGTGGTTATTTTTTTTTTTGTTTTTCTAATTTTAGCAAGATTTCTAATCATTATTTCTTTTGTTCAATAAAGTATCCATTTATTTGGTTCTCTGTCAACTTTATCTCTTAAATCCAAAACGATATACCAAGCGACTTTTTGATAAAACACTTTGCCTCGTCTACAAGCATACTCTCAAAAGATATCGACAATACACTTGAGAGTAGGGGGCAATAGGTACCGACTACGGCTACTCAACGTCATAAGCTTGGTAAATCCAATTCTACGCAGTGACGGTAAAACCAGCTATAGCCGAGCAGGGCTCGGGACCGACCACTGCTCAGGTCCGACCGCTGTCGGCGTCGACCAAGTGCGAACGGGCACAAATCTACATTAGTCGGCGGTTTTACGAGACAGCCTATGTTTGTCAATAGGTCTTATTTCCGACTGAACACGGCTCGGGTCCGACCACCACTCGACGCCGATCACGTGTGACGAAACATGAATCTACTTTAATCGACACATTTGGAAAGAACAATTAAACAATCTCAACACGGCCAAACCAGAAGCGGGTCGATTGGCCTAGCACGGTTAAAACATGAGATGGAGTAAAAGACGAAAACAACAGCGGGTGTAAAACCATTGACTATGACCAACGGGTTAAAAACCTACGAAAATGAAAGCAAGAAAACTCCATCAGAGTTGGAGCCGTAAGCCAGTAAGTGACTGGTAAAGAGGGTTAATTGATGATTCCAAAGAAAAGAGATACAAGCAACATAGTAACAAAGCACATAAAAGTCAACCGTAAAAACGCTCCGGGAGGAAGGAAAAGTCAATGTCAGGGTGTTGAGTAGAAACCTGACGGAGAGACCAGGAAACACCGCACTCCATGGCAGAGTTTTGCAAGTCAACATACTCCTGAGTTTTCTTGAATTCTCTGGCCAAGAACTCAGAAATAGAGAGTCGAGCGTTGGCCTCGTCAAGTCTCCTCTGCAAGTTAGCTAGCTCGTCTCGAGATTTTCTCTTCTCTGTTTCCAACTCACGTTGGGTACCCTCCAGAAGGCTGTTGGCTTGGTTGAAGGAAGAAATAGCCTGTTCCAGCTCCTCCCGAGGGGCATAGTGGCAGCGGAGATAGTTAATTTCATCAACAACTCGGCCCGAGAATACCACCAGACGGTTGAAAGTCTGCCAAGGATAAAATTCGACATTAGGGGAGAATGCTATGACAAAATACTGGAGGTTACCAAGCACTCACCTAGTGGAGATCGCTAAGGCATGTGCTGATGCTGTGCTGAGGATTTGACAGACCAAAGTCTGACCCGCTTGATGAGTCGCCGAGGCCTTGCCAGAGACTAAATGCTCTTTCCAGGTAGGCTGTCCCGTCAGCGTCAGAATTATATGGGCCAGAGAAAGGGAAATTGGGACTTGAGAGGAGCTCCTTGGATGACCTCGAGGGGAGGACGGGATAGATGTCCCATGGAGTCGGGCGGAACGCCTCGGAGCTGTCGGAGGCATGAAAGATCGAGCATGTTGTGAAGGGAGTCCCTCCTCGGTCAAATCAGTTACCTCGATATCCGAAGCCCGACTAGAGCCAGCCCCTAAACCCCGGGCATTCCGGCGACGCTCTCTTTCATACAAAGAAGCACTCCGTCTCGACATCTCTACAAACAAAGATAAAGGTAAAAAGCGACGTTCATGAAAAGTGAAGAGAGGATTTCGACAAAGACCTGGAGGGTTGCGCGGAAGGGCCAAACCAAAATCCACTAAGTTTTGCTCCGTAACCAAATTTGGGCCCCAACGCTCGATATCCGGTAGCTGGATAACGGTATGATAGAAAGTGGTTGCCTCGGCGGTAAGCTCACAGTTACGGGAAACTGCCAATAAGAAAAGGAATATCAGAATTGACATGTGCAAAAGTCTCGGTGGAGTTCGGAAGCTACTTACCCAACTCCCTACACTCGGTCGGCACGGGAAAATACAACCCTCTCATCGCGGGCTAGCCAGTCACCGCCAACAAAGAACCATTCATTCTTCCAATGCTGCACTAAGGAGGGACCCATAACAAGAACTTGGTTGCGGGAGCTAACATAAAAATGAAAGTTATCCTCGGGACTATGTTTGAGATAATAAAGCGACATAAAATCCGCGGCGGTTAGAGGCTGCTCGCCCCCGAGGTACGACCACATAATGAAGCAACTGATCAAAGTAGACCACCCGATCGGGACGATTTGGGAAGGAGCTATTTGATTAAAAGCTAAAAAGTTTTGAAGAAAAAGAGGCAATGGTAGGCGAACTCCAGATTGGAACATCGCGGCATAAAATACTACTTCACCGGGATAAGAGCTGTCAATACTCTCTCTCGGATTCGGAAGACGAAGGCTAACCGAATTCGGGATACGGTATTTCGAACGCAAGCGACGCAAGTCCTTCGCCGTAAGAGTGGAGTTATCCATCCAAAAGGGACGATAAGACTGAGACTATGACGAAGGATGTGATGATGACCCATCATCCGAAGAGGTGCACTCGAAATTAAGGCCAGCCATATAAAAAAAATACGACAAAGAGCAGGGCAGAGAAATGAATACCTTGTTGGGAGGTTGACAAGAATTGGTGAGGATGAAGGGGTTTAAATAGCCCTTAACTCATAGCACGGTTCTCGGTCCAGAGGTCTTTACCCAACGGACCGAAGGGTGCTCGGCACGGTGCCCAACACTCTTGTGACTACTCGGCACGGTACCCAACACACTTGTGACTACTCGGCTCGGTACCCAACACTCTTGTGACTTCTCGGCTCGGTACCCAACACCTCGAGATATCAAAACATGGGTCTACTGCTGATGTGACAGTTGCATGGCAGGTTGCATCGGGTCTTGCAAGGAGAGGGAAAATTGACATACACTTTCTTGTGTCCCGTGAAGATAAGACAGCTGACTGTAACTAGGGTGCCATGAGCCCCACAATGATTCGACAACTCAATCGACTCGGGCCCACATGACAAGATAGGTCACTACAAAAGCTATACTCCCAATGAGATCGAAAGCATCACATTGAGAGTAGGGGGCAACTGTTATGCAATGGAAATTGACATCGAGGTACAGGTGAAGATCGGAGGGAAGCCCACTGGGCCACGAGGGGCTCGNAAAGCATCACATTGAGAGTAGGGGGCAACTGTTATGCAATGGAAATTGACATCGAGGTACAGGTGAAGATCGGAGGGAAGCCCACTGGGCCGCGACGGGCTCGGTCCCGACCCGGGGCTCGGTCACGGCCCTCCAGCGGCCCTTCGTCTTCGATCCACGATTACGCCTAGGCCCTCCAACGGAATTAGAGTTAGCTCCGGAAAGTTCTGGAACAACCTGACGGCTATAAGTAGCGATCCAGCCTTAGAGGTAAGGGGATCTAAGAAGTTGACTACATTTGCGCTATTCTCTTGCTAACTTAAGCATCGGAGCCCGTGTGACTAGAGTCACACCGGTTTAGCTCGATTTGGTTTTGCAGGTACTAGTCCCCGATCAACAAGTTTGGTGGGTGCGAGGAGGAGAACCGGAGGACCGAAATCCACGCATCAACAAAACGCAACTGGGTGGATTTTAATAAATGCGTCTCTAGAGACGCATCTGTCGCATCAAAACGGAATGAAAACCATGGTTTTCTTTCCGTAGAACGCGGTTCAATTTTTTTAAAAATAATTATTTTATTAAATTACATTAATATACCTACTTTTTTTAGTATTTTAAGTTGAGATTTTATTATTTATATTAATAAATAGGTCAATATGGCTACTTTTAAAATTTTTTTTTACAATAAATATTTTAATAATTAAGGTTTTTTCTAGTAAAATCTAAATTTTTTTTTTACAATAACTTACCTAAATTTTTAAATTTTCTATTAAATATACTTAATAAATACAAACCTGGAAATTCACAAAAATAAATACATAGTTAAAATGAAAATACATATCTTGAAATTTCATTGATCACAATAAAACGAACCTAAAAATTCATAGACAAAAATTAAGATTTATTTTTAATAATTGTCCCATTACAATATAGTCTAATTTTTTAATCTTTATTTAAAATAAACTATATATAATATATCATTATATACCTTTCCTCATATATAATTGGAACATTTCAAATTATTTATCCTCGTTTTACACGTTACGTGGAACCTAATGGACCTATACAGATGAAAAACTCTGAGATTAATTGATTAAACTTATTAACTATATTAATACAAATTCATAAACGGCCACAAACATTTAAAGAGACAATAATTCTAGTCCTCTGAAATCCTCTAAAATTTTATAAAATCTCTAAATTTAAACATTATATTTGAAATATGTATAATAAAATATGTATCTTTAATAGTGTGGATTTATTTTCGAAAAAAAAAATATAAATTTATGACATTAGGCATCCTCAAAAACATTTTAAATATTAAGAAATCTACCAAATCATGCCTAGAGTAAATTTATTAAAAAAAATAGTACAACAAAAAATTCACACTATTAAACTATCAAAAACTAAAACTACCAAACCTGACCAAACAACTATGACTTATTTTAAATTCATGTATTTATTTTTATAAATTTCTAGGTTTGTGTTTATGAAGCATATTTAAAAGAAAATTTAAAAATTTAGATAAGTGATGAAATTTTAATTTAGATTTTACTAGAAAAGATGTTAATTATTAACCTAATTAAAATATAAAATAGTTATATTAATATAAAATAATAAAATCTTTATTGCAAAAAAAATCTTAAAAACTAACCGTATTTGATCGACCTATTGTAAAAAAAAAATCTTAAAAAGTAACCATATTTGATTCACCTATTTATTAATATAAAATAATAAAATCTCAACTTAAAATACTAAAAAGAAGTAGGTATATTAATGTGAATTAATAAAATAATTATTTAAAAAAATCTTGAACGGCGTTCTACTTTTGGTTTCGTTGCGACAGATGCGTCTCTTGAATAGACGCATTCATTAAAATCCACCAACTTGCGTCTCTTGTA